CTTAAAAAAGGGAACGTTATAATTTAGAAAAATGATTAGTATAGACTCTATTTAACACAATTTTTAACATTTATCTTAGTTTAACTATTAAAATATAATATAATAACAATCGATTCAGCTGATTCTTGCATCCTGTATGTATGACTAAATCTTTAAGTTTATTCGCTTTCAATTTTATATTAAAAAAATCATTTTTTAATGAGCATGTTATACAATGTATTGAATTAAAATGTGTATCAATCATTATTCTTGTATTTAACATCGGATAAAGGATATAATCTAGTGACAACATATTTTCTCTTGTAAAGTTGAGTATGCTTCTACTCCCTTTTGTAAAGTGAATTTGTTGACAAATAAAACAAAAAAAGTTAAATCTCTTTTCATCTATATATAGTCTACCATTTCCACATAGACCTTGTCACACAATAGTGGCACACTAACATATGAATTTTGTGTTGATTAAAGTCAATAAAAGATAAAAAAAAAAGAAAAGAAAAGAAAAGAAAGATGAAAAATGTTGATAAAAGTTCAAAAATAATATATACAGGAAACTGTTACAAAAGTTCAATTATTAATCTTGTTGAAATTGTTATTAAGTGAATGTATTCCACTAACTTCGTCCTTTAAACTTGTGAAATCTGCCTTCCTAAATAGAGACAACAAGGTAATTAATGTGGTCAAAAATTTAAGAGAAGAATTTGATAAACTTTCTTTACTCCAATGCGATGATTACGATTACATATCAAAGAAAGGGAAAATAAAAACTTCTATGGACAGAGATGAATTGATACCCTGGCTTCTAAACGTTATAACATGCAAAAGATATAACTACCAAGTTCAAAAGATATATAACTCTCCTTGTGATATTTTTGGAACTCAAACGACATATTTCACAATTTAGAAACTTTTATTTTCATATTTACACTTCAACCTCAATCTAAATGCATCCTAGTGCATAGCAAGGTAAAATCAATTCCCTCCCTCTTTACGAATTAATATGAAATGCACCCTATGTGTTTTTTTTTTTTTTCAATTTTCAAGTAATTCAACATATTTTTAAATGTTAAATGCATACCCTAATTAATATATAAGGTAGCATTTTATACCATGTGTAAATTGAGTCAATTGTTGTAATAGGTTTTAGAATTATTATGTTAGATTGATTTAGAGTTTTTAAGTTTTTTTATTATTAAGTTACCTAACGCTTTATATAAAGGCTACCTATGTACTCATTTTAATGTTACAGAATAATAAAGCATTTTGAATTTCTTTTAGTTTTCTTTCTTTCTTTTCCTTGCTTTAATTTCCTACACGAACCTTGAACTTTTGGGAGAGTTGACGTCTGGAGCAATGGTAGTGCTGATGTTGATAATGAGGTTGACAGACTTCTGGGAAAAATGAATGCCAAATCGGATTTTAACATAAAAGTTGTTAATATATATAACATTCCACTTAAACATAAATTTTATACAAGATTTTAGCCATTCATTGTTCCATGATGTATTGATTAATAGCTTAGATTTATCATAATTTTTTGAAAATAATACATACATCCTATAAAGTCACAAATTCCATTACACACTTCAATAACTGTCAGTTATGATAACTAGACCTTCGTCGTTGTGACCTGCTGCTATAGGTTTTGAAGGGTCTCCATTTTATAATGGAAATAAAAAAAGTGTTTCAAGTGGGGGTAATTTTTTATAATACATGGCATTATGATTTTTGGCTTGAATAATCTTATTGAATTTATCAATCGACCTTATTCAAATTTACAGGA